TCTTTCCTGCTCCCTCTTCCTTCTCCTTGCCCACCCTCCCTTGTCTTTCAGACCCCAAGATAAAGCACAGAGTAAATTCTGAGTCCCAGGGGAGGAATTGTCCTTCCCCTGCCTGCCTTTAGTGACATGTTTAATTCTGTTTAGCGTTTCTTACACTTACCTGTAGTTACTTCTGTCTTCCCCACTTCACTTCTTCCTCAAGAGTAAGGACACTTGTTTGAATCTTGGCATCCCTAGTGCGGCCCAGAGTAAGTTCTTGGGAAGTGTTTTTTAAAAAAATGAAATGCAGCCTGTGTCCTCAGGGGGCCTACCTAAATTTAAAAACAATCCCTTTAGTTTGACTCAGCAGAGATCACAAGATGGTGCATGCTTTACTGCCAAGTGAATTGTAAGGAAAAAAACTTTGGATAGGCATTATTAAGGCTTTTGGAAAATGAAGAGCTTGTTAGGTTTGCCAGAGGAAGTGGTCTTTAAACTGGGACTTATGTAGGCTTAAAGAGGACAGTCATTGGATAGTGGAGAGGATTGTAAAGGTACAGGGTGGAAACCTGGAAATGGGCAGTTGTAGGAAATATTCTTATTTTAAAAATGAGTCTGGGTAGATTGAATAGTTTGTCCATGGTCACTTGGCTGTTACTGGGAGTGGTGGTGGAATTGGGATTTGAACCCAGATCTCTGACTCCAGAATCAGTGCTCTGGAGAGGTAAGTTGAAAAAACTCTGAACTAGGATGTATCATTTTGGAAATAGGGAAGAAAAAGGCCAAAGATGTTTGAAGGGAAAGACTTGACTAATGAAATATACTTAGAAGATGACGGGTCTAAGATGACAGCAATGCTTATAACTCGGAGACTAATACTAATATTATTTGGGGCTCCAAGGGTGTTTATAAGCACCCAGAAATTCCCCAATACCATAGTCCTTTTAATAAGTAAGTGATTTCATTAAAAGTCTGAGACTTTTCTTCTTTTTTCCCTGGACAGCTTTGCTTAAAGTTACTATCCTCACTCTTTTCAATTTCAAATTACTGATATTTTAAAATTTGTAACCATATGTCTCTGAAAGCCAGAGTTGTACGTATATATTTTTTCCCTCTGTGCTTTGAACGAAGAGTTTGTCCAAAGAATCCTGCCAATTATGCAAGTATAATGCAGTTCCTGTGTATTTTGAGCTCCAACTTATTGGAATATGATTTTACATTAGACAATAATATATGTGGTTATGTTATAGGATATGTTTGGCTTCTGGTTAATACAAATGTGGGCAAACCAATTTTAACAGTTTTACCATACTCTTGGAATAAGGTGCTGGCTTTTTAAAGAGCGGACTTTATGAATGGATGGATGCATGTTGTTTTGTAGCATTTAGCTTTGCTTTTCAAGGTTGAAAAAGTGTTTAGAGGCAGATTTTTTTTTTTTTTTAAATCTTGAAAACTTGAGGTTCTCTTCTAGGCTGTGGCAGCCATAGAACGTCATATAGGAATAGAAGTTATATCTAGCCAACTTAATGTGAGTGTTTCCAACTACTAAAATACCAAAAAAGTACCTTCTTCTTTCAGGATGATGAAAACAAATGATAGCTTAATTAGCTTTGCTCAGCTTCTCAGATTAGATAAATTCACTATTATACGCTCCATTAGGACACTGTGGTTCTTCTTTCAGTGGCATTCACCATATTTGTAATTACCTAATTTAATGTCTGTATTCCACACTGAGCTCTAAGGTTCACACAGGCCCAAATCATGCGTGACTTGCTTTCTCCCCGTAGAGTAAGTCTCAGCAAATTGACTGAGTTGGCTCTTACTAAATTCACCAGTAAATTCCCTGTGTTGCTAAATGTAATGGACATTTTTCAGTCATCATTTTATTTGAACTGTCAGCAGCATTCACCTTTCTTCTTGAAACACTCTCCTGGTTCTTTCTACCTGTATATTTACCTTGCACGCTCATTCTCCTCTCCCTGGCCGTTAATGTTGGGCTTCCTCAGAATTCGGTCCTAGGTCCTCTTCTCTTCTCCCTCTCCATTTTTCTCCTCAGGCTAAATTCCATACAAGCCCACAGATTCTATTTTTATCTCTGTTCATGTGACACAAATATGGGTCTCCATTTTAGATCTCCTTTGAGCTCTAGACCTGGTTATCCAACTGCCTAATAGTCATTCATGCATTAATCTATTCATTCAAGAAATATCTATTACATGGACACTGTGCCAAGCACTGTTCTACGCTCTCAGCTCTTAAGAACCTGGATTTTGTCCTCCAGCTGGTTGTAGGTTTGCTCAACCCTTCGTGTAGGACCTAAAATGCATTACAAAGGGGTACCTCACACTCAGCATGTATAGACCTGCTGCCTCCTGTGTTTTCTGTCTTGGTGTATATAGCTCTGGCCAAAAACCTTGCCATCACCCTAGAAACCCTTCATAATTGACCCCTCATAACTAATCTGTTGCCAGTTTCTTTTCATTTTATCTCCTAAATATCTCTAGTATCTATTTCTGTATACTCCACTGCTATCACTGTACTCTAAGCATCTGTCATCTGAACAGTAGCCTCCTAACTATCCTTCCACATCTACCTTTGTCCTCCTTCAGGTCTGTCTTCACATAGCTTCCAGAGTAATCCTTAGAAGCATGCCCCCTTTCTGCCCCCCAAAACCTTCATGGCTTCTCCATGCTCTCAGGCTTTGTCAGAATGTTAGGATCCATCCTGCATTCACTGCTTTTCCTCTCATTTTCTGCTTTTCACTTCTTCAGTGCCATACTGCTTCCTGGACAGCGTTTCAGCATTTGCCATATCCTGTCTGAGATGCTTTTCCCTGTGCACTTCAGTTTTTACCATCCTGTAGATAGCAGTTCAAACCATTCAACAACTATCTACTGGATGCCTAGTTTGTGTCAGCACTGTCCTAGGCATCAGATGAACAAGTAACTCACTGGCTGAAACACAAAATGAACCTTGCCTTGTGGAGTTTATATTCTAGTGAAGTTATCCCTGAATCCAATAAACCCTTGAAGTACAAAGTGTCTTACCTTTGCAGTGGTTACATTTGTCTTTCACATTTATTTATATGATTATTTGACTAATGTCTGTTTCTCACAATAAACTATACATTCCATGAGTATAGGAATTCTTTCTCCCCATCATCTTCCCATCACTGCCTCTCTAGCAGTAAGCAGTGTCTGACACATTAGTAGGTATTCAGTAGATACTTTTTTTAATTGCTGCCTTAATGAATTGATTGATTAAAAATTAGAGTTGTTGGGGCTTCCCTGGTGGCGCAGTGGTTGAGATTCCGCCTGCCAATGCAGGGGACACGGGTTCGAGCCCTGGTCTGGGAAGATCCCACATGCCGCGGAGCAACTAGGCCCGTGAGCCACAACTACTGAGCCGGCGCGTCTGGAGCCTGTGCTCCGCAACAAGAGAGGCCGCGATAGTGAGAGGCCCGCGCACCGCGATGAAGAGTGGCCCCCACTTGCCACAAGTAGAGAAAGCCCTCGCACAGAAATGAAGACCCAACACAGCAAAAATAAATAAATTAATTAATAAACTCCTACCCCAACATCTTCAAAAAAAAAAAAAAAAAAAATTAGAGTTGTTAACTTGAAAATTTTCTCTTTAGGACCACATAAAGTGAACCTATAGTTCCTTCCATTTTTTTATGGAAATACACATATATTAATTCTTGCAAGAGGCTTGGTTGTTTTTCAGCCATGGGACGTACAGTCATTATTTTAGATTATGTAAACATTGCCAAAATTAAATTCTCATTTCTTCCAAGTAAAAAATAAAAGTATGCTGAATACCCCTTTTGAAGAAATTTGCTTTTTTAACCAAGAAAATTGTTTTAGGTTGTTACAATTATAAAATTTTATAAGCACTTTAGGAATTTACTATTTTTAAGAGTAAAAAAATAAATGACAGTGTTTAAAATCAGATATGGAAAGGATTTCTTTTTTAGAAAAATCAATTGATTTATTTGTTCCTATTATATCCTTTAAACAAATGAGGAAACTTAAAACTCAAAGTTAAACAGGTCTTTAAAGTGAAGTCAGGAGTAAAATAATCAAAATTATTTCTAACTATTGATGCCTGATCAGTTATTTCCCATTAATAAATCAGTTTCTATACAGTTATTTTTATTTATGAAGATTTTTTTATTCTGTGTTCCAGCCTCTGTGTGACATGAAAGTTATAGACTGCTTTTAAATACACTGTATTGTCAAACTGTTTTAACTTAATCTAGATTTTGTGATTCATCAGGTGATTCTGGACAAGGATTGAGAATGTGGATCGAGCAAGTTTTAAATCAAGATTTAACATTCCAACACATAAAAGTTATTTATCCAACAGCTCCTCCCAGGTATGTAGTAATTCAGTTCATTACTCAGTATAACTCTGTGGCATAAAATATATATAAATGTACCAGCTAGATGGTTTTTCAGCTTAATTCTGTATTTAAAATATTTTAAATTGGGGTTCTTTTTTCCAGAACTTTTTTTTTGTTTTAGCAATTACTCTGTTAGAGCAAGTTTTGCTAGGTGAGTAATTTATTCTTGGAAAAGCATTCCCTGAAGCTCTTAACTTAGACTTTGTCCCAGGTATGGTTTACATGACTCTGCTTTCTGTGGCCCTGTGGATTGCTCACCTTTCAA